GAAGGAGGCAGGGAGGCAATGTCGAAGGGGGGGGGGGGGGGGGGGGGGGGGGGGGGGGGGGGAGAGAGAGAAAGAGAGAGAGACGATAAGTCGCCAACCTTGGCGAACAGCTAAGTCTCTAGCGTGCGACTCACCGCACGCTACTTGGATCGATAGAACAAGCAAATCAAAAAGTGGCAGTGTATATTTTCCCGTTTCAGCGAGCGATTCATTCCGATTCGCTCGTCCTATCGATGGAATGGGTGTGTGTGAGACGTTGATGATTCGACCAGGAAGAGAGAGAGAGAGGAAGAGAGAGAGAAGGAGAGGTGAGATGCACATGGCATCTGTGAGTGGGGAACGAGGTCGTGAGGGTAGTGCGAGACGTACCTGGTGCTGGAAGCCTGGAACCGTGCGACATTGGTCGCCATATGCTCGTACTACGGGAATGTTGTTGATGTCATCTTTTCGCTTCGCAATATAGGCTAGATAGGATCTGCTACGTGTAGTCTGGGCGCCGAGCGCCAGATAGGATATCAACTTTAGTTCTTCGTTGATGATGGTAGGGACTAATTCAACATAGTCAATTATGAACTCTTTGTGAGTTCTTATTTGGTGAATCTCATGATGCAATGCTGCTGTTGGTTCGAGGTCAAGACTATTTGGACTCATATGTATGATGCTATTTGATTACTGAAGTTCGCTATTTTACGTATTTATTATTATTATTATTATTATTATTATTATTATTATTATTATTATTATTATCATTATTATTATTATTATTATTATTAGATGCGTTATGGTCCTTGGGTCCACGTGGCATCTATGAGTGGGTGATCGAGGTTGTGAGGGGTGCAAAAGACATACCTGGTGGTGTAGGCGAACGACATGAGCCGAGATCTGCCCGTACTTCGGGCAGCTGTTGACATCATCGGCAGCGTTGAAGATAGGCCAGATACGATCTGCCCCATGTAGTCTGGGCGTTAATCGCCAGATAGGATAGCAACACTGGTCCTTCGTTGATGATGATGGGATTACTTCAACATTGTCAATTATGAATTCTTGGTGTGTTCTTATTTGATGAATCGCTTGATGCAACCTTGCTGTTGGTTCGGGATCACGACTATCTAGTCTTGCGTATACGATGCTGATTGATTGCTGAAGCACACTATTACTCAACTTCCTTGCACTAACATTATTGATTTTATTACTATTAGCGATATTATTATTATTGATTAACATCGTTTCTAGTACTATTATTCTTGTAGGAGGTCATAGTTATGATCTACATGCAAAAAATGATTGCACAGGGGTAGGAGTCCCAAGAAGAAAGAAAGATAGGCGCGAGAGAAAGGAAAAGAACGAAGAAGAAGAAGAATGTTTGTGGGAGGGACGAAAGAAAACAGAGGAAGTGTGAGATAGAGAGTGAGGAAGAGAGACAAACAAAAAACATACAAACACATACGTACAGACAGACACATGCAGCCAGAAACATACAGACAGATAGATGTTGTGGCATACTGCATAGCCGCATAGGCCTGTAGGGTCCGTCCTGAGTTCCCAGCCTAAGTGCCTAGAAGTAAGGGCTTACAGGCCCCTTCACACTGTGGAGTGAAGATGATGATGTATGTTCAGACTGCCTTGCAGTATCTATTGCTCGGATCATTGGTATCTAAGTCTTCAGCTACCTTAATTTGGATTTTGTATGAGAGGTCAGTTCTTGTTCGAGTCCGCACGTTTATAGTAGGCAACAGATATTGACAAATATATGTAGACAAATATATGCAGGAAGATGCATGCAGACAGATTTAAACAAACAAGATGCAGAATTAGACAAACAAATGCAGCCAGCCTGCGATGGACAGACAAATAAAAAACAAAATTCGACCGCGGATGACAGACAAACACTAATAAAGAGGGGACCCGTCTACCCTTGATATGGCTGCTGAGTTGCTGTGATATACGCCACTGAGCATTTAATAACTGATCCCAGAAACTGTAGTAGTCTGTCGGGACTAAGCATATCCGGACTCTGCACCTCTGACCTCGAGTGTGGATTTCGTATGATCCATCGACCGATGTCTGTGCGTATGTATGTATGTGAGAGGGAGGGAGAAGAATGATGCTAATAAGGATGTGAAGGCACATATCCGGCATTAGCAATGACCTGCATTGGTCGAAGTTCCCTAGTACTTTATTGACTGATGGCGTCAACTGTTGCATTGTCAAATAGTAGGAGTATAAGGAGTAGGCTGGGCACCGAATGCTAGGTAGGGAAAAGAGACTGGATACATATCTTGATGATGACAAAAGCCAGCTTTCATTGGCATTTGGTCTTCAGCGTTACGATTCGCCATTGATGTTAGACTGGTGCAACGCTGATCTTTTGACACTATGGCGCTTTCTGCTCTGACATTCAATATGATTGCGCATTTTG